ATCGAGCTCTGGAAATATATTAAAGTTAATGCAGCTTTATCGCAGCGCGCGTTAATTGTGTGTTGAAAAAAAGTTTTATTTATTTATTTTTTTTTTTTTTTTTTTTAACGCGGAGCTCGTTACGCGGGTGTCCCGTTAATCAACAGAGCGGCGTGTTGTGCCTGAAACGTACGTTTCACACAGGCGAGACTTTTCGATCTAGTGGAATAGTACCGGCGATGGTCAGCCGGTCTATATAAACCGACGCGCAATAAAGTGCGATAGATACGGTGGTGGACTCTCTAATTGATGACGGAATGCTCTGCCACACCGAACGATTAGTCCTAATGCGTAGCTGAATGCGGTCTCTCTCTCTCTCTCTCTCCCTCTCTCTGCCTTAACTCCGGTGTCTTTTTATTGCGAATTATCGTCTTCTGGCAACGTTGCAATTACACGCCGCATAATTATTCGTCGTTTATTCTTATGCACAATTTGCGAGGCGCGTTAATGTCACTTTTACGCAAATTCGTCGTCTTTTCAACGACGATTTTAAATTTAAAATGAATTTTTCGCCGCTCGCTTCGAAGATTTCGCGAAAAGATCGCGCCGCAAATTCATTATATTGTGTCGTCGCTGTGAAATTCCCGCGCGCTTATTAATTTTACAATCGACACGCAATATTTTTTGTCTCGCTATCGCGGGCATATGTTTACGCGATATCTAATCTCCTTTCACTGAACGAGATATCTTTTTCTTTTTTTTTTTTTTTTGTTTTTTATTTTTAATGACAGTGTTCTCTCGCGCTAGACTCAACTGATTCACTCGCGGCCGAGGTTGGGTCATAATTAGATAATAAAAATAAATAACGCGACGTATTTTATTCATCAATTGATTTCTAGCGCGATTTATCGACGCGCGTCTGAAAATACCTTCGTTCCGAAAAATGCGTGATCCGAAATATCCGTCGCGATCGATTCGCAATCGGAACGTATTGTCGGCGCGAGAAAAAGAAAAAAAGAAAAAAGAAAGACGAAAAGAAGAAGAAGAGGAGAAAGAAGATGGTTATTCAGGGCGAGCCATTGCCAAAAGCAGCGGTGTGTGCGTGTGGCAATCGCCGGCGCGTTCTTTTACGCTCTGCCAGCTCAGCTTCACTCCGCTACCGTTTTAATTTAAGACCACCCCTTCAAATGTCACGAATACGCATTCCGTCCGCGCCGCATCGCTACGAAGATTGAAAACACCTACTACCTAATGTCGCGCTCGTTCCGTCCGTGCTGATATCTCCCGAGTGACACCCCAACGCTCGGATCTTCCCAACCGCAAAAGCCAGATTCGCGCTGATTGTGGGAACGAGACGATGTTAATGAAGAAATTTAACGTTTGAATTTGGGCGTGTAACATCGCAGCGCGCGCAGACGAGAAAGCAACGACGTAACGCTAATTTATTTCTCGGCGCGTTTAAAAGGAGATTCGCTCTCTCTCTCTCTCTCACTCTCTCTCCGACCTTCGAGACAAGAACGCGGTGAAATTCGTGCCAATCCCTTTTAATCGTGTTTACGAGCCCGCTTTCTCGCTCCGTCCGCTACTCCGCGCGAAACAGAGATGCAATTTCCGGGTTTACGACCAACGACAACTTCTTCTAGCGACTACAATGCGTTGACTTGTGTTGTTACTGCTCCCACTCGATGTACGTACATAAATACGTGACTTTGTGTCACGAGCCAAAGTAAAGCGAATATACATGTGTATTTGTTTTGTTTTGTTTTTTTTTTAATTTTTATGTACGAGAAGCAGATGACCGAAATGTCTTTTTTTTCCGCTCGGAAAGTTCATCCTCGTATGAATCACATCTTCCTCGTTTCGCGCGCAACAAACGCGCGTTTGCGACAAAAACAAGCGCGCGCTATCTTCAGACTTAAATTTCGGACAAGGCCAAAATCCGTTTCGATCCAAAAATCGCGATTAATCTCCCAACGGATCTCGATTTTCCGCGCGTTTCCTTCGCAGTCGTAATAATGACGAAACGTCGTCGGCGATGTGCCGCGCGCGCGTCAAGTGCCGCGTCGACCCACATTTATAAATAGAGAGGTCTCATCTCCGTCGAGACGAGAAGGTGGTGCTCTCGCACCGTGTGTGTGTCACCCCAGGAATATCACGGCCGACCGAGTGACCGGCTGTGCCAGCCGTGAATGAGAGAGACTATTTTGTGTTGCGCGACTCTTTTTCCATCTTCCCGACCGAATCCTCTGACAGCGCGCAACACGTGTTATTGCGCGCGGATAAAAATACAAAAATCTATTTTCCAATTATATTTCTCTATTGTTGTTGTTTCGCGACGTGGTTTAAGACGTGTTAAGCTCGCGTACGTGCGCGCGTACATCATCACTCGTCCGAATCTTGCAATTTTCCCTCATCTCGCAATAATAAAAGAGAACGCGCGCCAACTCCCGTGTGAGAAGATACTCGAACGAGCGTAGCGCGGCGCTGGCTGGCGCGAGAAAACGCCGCGATGGCAATTTATCCGCGCGAGAACATTGCGGGATTCGCTTTTTGGCGATATACTCAGTCGACACTTAAAATCAGCATCGTGTGTCGTAACGGCCGAGACCGCGAACATTCATAGAAGATCGGGAAGAACGACCTCGCGTCGTATTATTATTAGAGACATTCTTATTGTATATCTGGTTATACGACGTGTATGTTTCTTATGGTTGGCATCGCGTTCCCGTTTCAATCCTCGCGTGCTCGGCGAGCGTCCGAAATTATTGCTAATGGACGGAGCATCAAACATACAGGGTGTCCGAAAGATTTTGACGAAGCGCGAAGACAAAAGACGATCCGAACAGAAATGTCATTTACCATCTTGCAAAAACTTCGCATTATTTATTGAATTATTAATTGATCAACGAGCGCGTTGGAAGCGATGGATTCGGATTCTCTGTGTGATTTTGTAAAAACAAAAATAGCTCACCCCTCTCATGCAATCAATCTCCCAGCAACGAGAGATGAAGCGAGCGGCGCCAATCAGCTTCTTGCGATCAGCTGATTGTCACGACGTTACAACCGAACTGACGGTACAAAATCACGCCCACAGAGATCATCGCTTCCCACGCGCTCATTGACTCGTATTGACTAATTAACTCGATAAACATTGCGAACATTCGCAAGTGGCTTTTCCGTTTTCGAATTGATCCGATGATGTCTGTTTTCACTTCGGTGAAAATTTTTCAGACACCCTGTGTATGTTTCACGAATGCACACTTCTGCGATAGATTCGTGTAGAAGGAAAGAATTCGCTCATACAAAACGCTTTTAAAAATAACAAATGAGAGAAGCATTCAACCACATAATTTTGGCGTACTTTGAGATAATGTATTTCTAGCATCCACACACACACACACATACACACACAGATTTCATATATTATTGTTTAATGAGCTAGAAAGCGAGCGAGCGAGTGAGAGAGAGAGAGAGAGAGAACTGCTTGACAGTTTGCCAGAGAAAACATCGGTTTGAATTTAGAGACTTTTGACTCGACTATATATCTGTCTCATTTTCGATAATTTTATCTCGTAATGCCATTTTGTTTGCGTCGCCAATAGTAGAATCGCACCGTCGATGCACAACATTGAACGTTGCACTTTTCAACATTGAACGTTGCACTTTTCAACATTGGACGTTCACACTCTTTTCGCGCGCGTTTTTGTACACCAATTTTTTCTTTATCAAACCTCATCATTCCAAAGCGATGAATACACAAATAGACAATTACGTGAGTGTGTACGTTATAATTAGCGCTGATCGACATTTTTTTTTTTATCGGAATCCTTCTTTCGTGAAATTATACATCGCGGAGTCACTTTTTCTGAGAACCGCTCGCTTTGATAGCAATTTGTTTTTGCTTCGAGCGAGGGCCACATTCGTTTCGCCACAACAACAACGCTATTTATGCCACTTGCTCTGGAAATAGTTTCACTGGCTGCTTTCCAGATGGTATTTTTCACTTCCACGTTAAGCCTGTGAGGCAGAAGTTAACAGCGCGACAGCGGGCTATAGTCCGTTCGAACAAACGTACAATGCGAAAAGGCGAAAGAACAGAATCGCGATTTATTATATATCGGTCCGAGACGTGTGAGAGAATCACCTGAAAATGCTCGACATATCATCATCGAATACATACATATTTTGTTTTAAATACTTTGGTACGAGATTACTCACACGCGAGAATCGTCGCGATCGTACGACGTCGCGATCCACGTCTAAACATCGCACTTTTGTCGCGCTGATAAGCGCAAGCGCATGATCAAGCTCGTAAATTTCGGCTTATCAGCCGAAATGTCAAGCTGGTCAACTGGATTTGCGGTAGACCGAGAGAGAGAGAGAGATCAGCGGCAGCACATATCCCGCGGGTTAAACGTTTTATCAGGAATCGATAGAGGCCGATATCAAGGGCGCGATATACTGCGTTTCCACTTGGCCGAAGTACACATTGTGCGAGTGTGTGTTTCGCCTTTGTAATTGCAAACCGAGTTTCTTATCGGCGCGTGATTGAATTTTTTTCCTCACGATATGAAGAAGAAGAAAAAAAAAGACAAATCATCGATCCTTACACCGCGATCCCGAGAAGTGTCGTTTATCATTGCGGATTCCAAGTCCGAGTTTCCGGGAAACGATTGCGATACGATAACGCGCTCTAATGTGTATCGTTGCAATCTATACCCGGGATTTACATAACGCCCGCAGAAAAATCCGCGCGTTAATGAGCAAATTGCACGCGCCTGGTGAAGGTTAATTGAAAAAATTTTTCCGCGCGCGATATTTCTCTGGTTGTATCTCGTCTTCTCGCGGAGAAACGCGCGCGTTTCGTCATCATCGTCATCCGAGAGAAAGAGAGAGAGAGAGAGAGAGAGAATTCCCGTTCGAAACACGAAAGTTTTACACACGCTTTCGTACACACGCGACACGCTATTCACATGCACACGCGAGGCTATTCTGTTATATGTCGGAAACAGGAAAGTTACCTTATTGTTTCGCTAGACCAGAGATCTCTGCTTCTGCTCTTCTATTCTTGAGTTTTCCGTGCGTCCTTCAACTGCAACCACACAAAGAAAGAAACGAGCTCAGTGTATCTGTGACGATTGAAACGTTAAACTTACACTTGTTGTTAGTATATACAGGACGTCCCGTAATTGCTCTACAATTTCTAGTGGGCAGGTAAAGAGAGTTATATTGAGTCACACAAAGTTTTTTACCACTTTGCGAGATTCACAAAACTACCGCAATAAAAACCTCATATATACACATATGAGAAATGTAAGAAATAACGGATGAAAATCAATCTCGAAAAATATAGAGAGGGAGAAGTGGAAAAACATTTGTTTCTTCTCTCCTTCTTGTCACGCGACTAAAATAAAATCACGCGACTTTATTTTAGTCACGTTTTTAGAAAACACGTGACTAAAGTAAAGTCACGTGTTGTTTTTTTTTTCACTCTTTCTTCTCCCTATTTTTTCTTCCCTATTTCCCGATTTTTTGATTTGTACGGCAATTACGGAACATCCTGTATACGTCGATTAGCGAATTGCACGCACGTGGGGAAGGAGAAGGAGAAGGATTCTCTCGACAAAAATCAATTTTCACAGCGGCGGAAAAGACGCGTAAAACAAAAAGGGTTTCGTTTGATTCTGTTGTCAGCCGAAAGGATTCGCGAAAGAGAACAAAAACTGGGAAAAAGTTTAAGCAAATGCAATTAACGAATGTTGTAAACACGAATTGCGCGGAACGGAGTTCATAATTACGGCGACCCTGAACTATAAGCAGTTATCAAGTGTTATTAGTGAAGTTCATGGGTCAAAGTTCGTGCGACTATGCGTGCGCAGTCGACGTATGTAATTTACATGTGTGTGTGTGTGTGTGTGTGTGTGTCAACAACTACAAAACAATTAACCTCATTGAAAAGAGCAATTCAAATGTTTATTTTGCTTCATCTATCGTCACTTTAATTTTGTTTGTTTAAAAACAAAATTATTGCGCGCGAGAGAAATACTTTCGGTACAGTTTTTAATTATCAGGATACGAGTTAATATTCCGAACGTATAACGCGCGAATATATTTTTTTTCTGAAACGTGGAGTTTAATTTGTATTTAATTTAATTTAATTTGTAATTTAATTTAATTTGAAAATAAAGCTCTAGGAACAAAAAAGAGATTTATTCGATAAAATATACATCGACGCGTGTTTCTGACACGACACGTTTAAAAACGGCACGCGCTACGCGTACGTACATGCGTTTTTTTTTTTTTTATGTTTTGTTTTTACGACTTCCCTTGCGAAACCGTCAATATAAGATGATTCAGCGACGTGAGCGTCAATATAAACAATAAGACTTCCCGTTATCGCTTGTTTGCACGTACTGAGCATTTGGGAAGAGAGCAAAAGGCGATGTGGCCGCGCCGACGCGCTTTAAAAACCTAACGACAACAGCTTTTAATGTGTTTTTCGTGACGTCCGCGTCGCGGAATGTCGCAATCTCCGTCGCGCGGAGAATCGTCGGGAGGGGAATTTCACGAAGCACCGCCGCCGTGAGTCACGTCTCCGGCGGCTCTCTGACCTGATCCGATTTCTCAAATAACCCCCCGAAAGAAGTTTTAAAAAAAAAAAAAAAAAACAACAGCGCGCAGCCGCGCGCGATGAAACACAACAATCGGGGAGGAAAACGCGAGAGCGAGCGAGCGAGTTGAAAATAACACTCGCTCGCTATCTCCTCCCAATAAACAAAAACCTTGAAGTGTGGCGCGACAAGAGATCGCAGGTTCCTAAAAACACTCTCTGTTTTCCGAACGTCTCGATATCTAATTTCGTATAAACTCCGCAATCTTCGATTAAGTATCTCGAAGAATGATCTAACAGTAGGATCGAAAACGTCAACAGTGTAGGATGTGACGTCATTGAGATAAGTTTAAAAAGTAAAAGTGCGCGCGTGGGGGATAAGGCGTCGACAAAAGGCTCGAAAATCAGCCGATCCGCTCAAAACAAACAGGAAGTCGAACAATGACGCAATCACACACACGTCGATCACTTTCATACGCGCTAAATTCTGCGTTTCATGCACACCCGGTAAAACGATCGCTGCTTTCATAATAGCGCGAGGGCACATTACAACCGTCGTCGCCGTCGTGAGCTAATGCATTTCTTGCGACTGCAAGTTTCAGGTGATACGAGATAGAGAGTGACGCGCGGGGAAGCGGGAAAAGTGATCGACCGCGTCTGTCTGTTCGGTCCGCCAATAAAGTCAAATGTCTCTCTTTTTTTTTTTTTTTTTTTTTTTTTT